TGATTAGTGTTTGATTCATTACGTATTGTGCATGCTTTAATATGTTGTGAAATCCATGTATTGTTATTTACAATACTAAACTCCCTAGTCATGTGTCATTGTGGGAATAATGATATACTAAGACTAGTATGATTTGTGATTGATGATCATATAGATGATCATAGGTATTGGATACGATCACAGTCATAGGTATTCGTTGGAGAACGGAATACTGGAATGACCCGCATGAGATTGTCACATGGACTAGCGTCATAACTTGAATCTCATATGGCGGTTCCATGATTGGATCCTAAGACCTGAGATATCGACGGAATCCAACATGAGGAGTTGCGTGCTTTGAATACGTCAAACGTCATGCGTAACAGGAGGACTATAAAGGCGTGTATCAGGTACGAAACGAATCATGTGCTGGATTGTAGATAGTCAAGACGGGATTTGTACCTCTCGTAAAAGAGAGAGATATCGCTGGGCCCCTCGTGTGAGCGAGACTGTAGAAATGTGTGGCCGCACTATAGACGAACGTCGTCTATTTCAGACAGTCGAACTCAGTGAACGAGAAAGCAGTCGAATCAGATAAGGTGGCTTGTCCATGCCTTATGTTCGACATATGATATCGCGATATAAAAGGATCATCAACCGGAATCATCACTAGCGTTCGTAAGATCACGAACAAACTCTATTCGACATAGGTAGTCATAGTGTCTTTCTATAGACCGCCTATGACTTGTATATCCGAAATAGAGATTTCGGGTTATATTGCTATATCGAATGAGCCTACAGGGTCACGCACGCAGGGAAGTACAAATGCACGAGAAAACGTCGAGAAACCTGGACACGAGGTCCGGACCGTTCGGTCCAGGAGTGGACCGAACGAACCAGAGCATCTAGTCCGAACGGACCAAATTGTTGGACCGAACGGACTAGAGGATCAGTTCGAATGGACCAAATTGTTGGACTGAACGGACTGACCTGTCCGAACGAATGGACTGTGTTTTGTCTGGTCCGAACGGACCGTGTCTAGACCGAACGGACTACTTAGAAGTCCATTCGGTCTAGGTTTCAGAATTAATTTTTAAAAGTCCAGAATTAGGGTTAATCACTTTATAGAAAGGAGATTAATAACCCTAACAAGTTGTGGCCGACTAAGAGAACTTCAAGAGACCTTTTGGAGAGTCTAGAGCGTCTAAGAAGTGATCTAAGTCTTGTTTTTCTCAAAGCACATCATCGAATAGAAGATTCGAGTCCTAGTAGACAAGTTTCAAAGGTTGGAATCCATCCCGAGGTGTGGATACGTATAGAGGGCGAGGTAATCTTCCTGCCTATAGTGATCGGACGAACACATCAATTGATACAGACCCCGGATCGATTGAGGTAAGCGTTCTAAGGTTTCTACAAGATCATGCATGATAGGTTTTAGGGTTTTATCAAATTTTTGTTTTACATCCGCTGCGCAAACCCTAGAATTGAACTCTTAGGAATTAGATTCGCTCATAAGATCTCAGGAATCCCATCAGTCACACTGATCACACGAGTCACACTGGTCACATTGGTCACACCGAAAATTTTTAAAATTCACGCGAAAAAATTTATATTTTTGTGATGGAGAGAATTTTAAAAATTTTAAAATATTTACATTTTTTTCTAGGAAATCGAAAACTGTTGTTCTCTCTCTTATCATTAATGTTTCTGCAATTGGGAGGTCCACGTCAATGGGTATTATGGGAATAACAAAATTATAAGGGTATTTTTTGAAGCCGTTTTTTTCTTCTTTTTGTAGGGGTAGACACTGAAGTCTTTGTAACATAATAGGGGTATTTTTTATAAAACCCCATGTAAATATGCTCTCCCACCTAGGGGTGGGCAAAATATCCGAAAAATTTGAACCGATCCGTTATTCGATTCGTATCCGAACCGAAAATTCGGGTATCCGGAGTTTACGTATCGGATACGGATATTTATTTGAAAATATTTGTCGGATACGGATCGGATACAGATATTAAAATTGAATTATCCACATATCCGATCCGATCCGTATTTTGTAATAATATTATTAAATATAAGAATAATTTGGTATGAAGATTTAAAATGTTTAATATTTACATGTTTTTTTAGAGTGGTTTAAGAAAAATTTTATATATATTGAGGTTTATAATTTTAATTTTTGAATATTAAAAATTATTATGTTTAATGGTTTGAATTTTGAATTTTGAATATATTTGTATGTGATATATTATAATTGTATTTGTATTTGAGTTGATTTGGAATGTTTAAATTATAAATTTTAAATTTGTGAATATTATTTATCTTAAATAGATTATATATTTTATTTACATTTGAATTTGTTATTTAATTTAAATTTAAATTTTTATAATATTTTAGGTCGAATACGGATATCCGCAAATATCCGTGATTTTAACGAATATCCGAAATTGGGATATCCGAAAATTACGGATCGGATACGGATAACAAAATCGAATATTTGTGCGGATCGGATACGGATATCTCAAAAATCCAGGATATCCGATCCGTGCCCATCCCTACTCCCACCTTATCACAAACTGTGAAACATAACCAAGTTTAAGTGTAATGTTAACTATACTAATGTAAAATTTGGCTAATAACCAAATATCTCAATAGTTAAATAACTGAATTGATACAAATAGAATGGATGATTTTTCTTAATCAACTAATAAAACTAAATCGACTGGAAAATAAATAAATTATTATATTATATTTGGTTCGGTTCGATTTCGATTTGGTTTTAGAATTTTTAAAGAAATTTTTGATTTTTCGGATTTTTTTAAAATTTGATTCGGTTCTATTCGATTTTTAAAAAAAATTCTAAAAAAAATACCATTTGAAGAATTTTGAATGATTCTATTAAAAAAAATACCATATATTTCGATTCGGAACCGCACCGAAACGGCACCTAAGTTAAATCTCCTGTCTTAAAACCATGTATGTCTTCTAAACAAATATAAAGCCATGTGAAAATAAATAAATAGTGTGGGAGGAACAGAAGTCAGAGAACGGCAAGCATGCGTGTCCTTGGACTTGGCGGGTTCCATTTCCTAGCTTAAACCCTAAACGAGCAGAGGAAGAAGTGAAGGTAATCGCATCGATCTTATGTTGGTCGCGGATATGAGGTGCTTAAGATGCTTCTACACCAAAACCCACTTCCTTGTCTCACATTCTTCTCCGACGCCTCCGATTTTCTCATCTCCGGCGACTCTCCGTCGCTTCTCAGCTCGTGTCTGGTCCATCTACGACCCTGTTTCCGGTCAAACTATCAACCAGGTCTCCGCCGGCGGTCCCACTTCGTCGGACTCTGAAACTGGGGTTTACGATACGACTTACGGGAGACCAAAGATTGAAAATTTGAGCAATGGAGACAAAACCCAGAACCCCACGGGCAAAGCTGACGATGTATCCAAGGAAAAACCCATTCTCGGAACAAAGAAAGCGGCTTCGAATGCGGGTTCGGTTCGGGGATGGGACCCAGGTGATATAGTGGTGAGTAAGAAGAAAGGCAAAGCGAAAACAGTTTGGGTTTGTGAGAATTGTGGGCACTCGGATGGTCAGTGGTGGGGAAGCTGTCGAGCCTGCAACAGGGTTGGGACCATTAGACGCTTTTCCGAGAGTTCAGAGTCAGGTGGTAAGGCGGACAAGGTCGGCGGCTTAGGTGTTTCTGGGAATGGTGTTCGGTCATGGCTTCCGCAACAAGCAGGAGGTGTACAGCCACTGAGATTGACTGATGTGGTTCATGGAATCAGTCAGCAAGACTGGAGAATTCCATTGTATGCTCTTCTTCTCCTCGTGGGTTCTGCAAATCACGTTCGATTAGTATTCGATAAATATTCTAGTTGCTATTGCGTGCATGCTTTTCTCCTCCTCTCCTTGGGGTATTAAGCCAATCATATTATAATAATGCCTATAACTATTGTAGTTGCTATATGTTCTTCTTTTCCGTGGCGAATTTAGCAAATCATATTCGGATAGTGTTTGGTAACTGCTCTAGTTTCTATTAGTTTGTTTCTAGTAATTTATATACTTCCTTTTTATGATTTAGAATGAAACCCCTGTTTACATTGGCTTTTGGCTCCTTGATAATGCTTGCTATAAGAAGGATAGTTTTTGTTTGCACTAGCTACTTGTTACTCTACCATCGCAGGAACAGCCATCTAGCTCAGACAGTTTCAAAATGATCATTCAGCTTACCATCTTCTACATTTTAGGAACTCATTGGAAATTTAGTGTCACTAGTTGAATATTTTGACAACCAATATCCTTGTTTACTTGATGCTTTTGGTGTTTAGGCCTGGACTTTTTGGAAATGAAGTTGCAAGGGTGCTGGGTGGCGGCCTTGCCCCAGGTTCCATGCTATCTTCATGATTTCATATTTTTTCTTTCTTGTGTCTTTCTGCCATCCCTGGCTTCATACTCACCAGTTAATGTTGGACCTGCATTTGACATTCCACATTGTCCATAGCTTGTCGTTATCATATTCTAAAATATCCGTTGCTTTTTAATCCTGTGCCTGAATACGCTATTTTGCAGGTTCTCTGATTTTAATCGGTGGTGACCCTGGTATTGGCAAAAGTACCCTTTTATTGCAGGTTCTGAGATATGACTTTTTTATGTTTGATTTTTTTCCTGCCTTTCATAAAATGAGTATATTAGTATTGATGGAAGCTTAAAATAACTTCGTATTAATCCTAATTCTGTTTTTCAAATGGAAGATGGCTTCAATTATCTCTGAAGGTACAGATTTGACTGCCTCAGCTTCAGTTTTATATGTTTCTGCTGAAGAGGTTAGTACTAGCCATCTTTTGTATCTTGTATTGGAGCCGCAGATCATCATTCATAACCCATCTTTCCTTGTTCGCTCCATGATAGCATTTTGCAACTTTTGGACTGCATTCTTGCTCATCTCTCTGTTTTGTTCCCGTAGATGCACATGCACTTTTACTGTGTTTTACAGGCATTGGGATAATCACAGACTGATTTCTAGTGTAGTGCCCCAACTGTGACTTGTACTTTATTAGCGGAAATGTTGTTGGCTGGGTTTTCTACGTTTTGTCTGTAGAAACATGTTACTTCCATTTTGTTCTACTGAAAAGTTAACGCATATATTCTACGGACCCATAATGACATAATTTTGACGAGGCCTTCAATATTTCTTCCATGGTGCAGAGTGTCGAGCAAATAGGAAATAGAGCTGATAGGATGAGGATTCAGACCGACGAGCTCTTTCTGTATTCTAGCTCTGATCTTGAGGTATATGATAGTGATGTTGTGCTCGTGATAGTGTTGTTTATATGTTGATACGGATGGATTTACATTTATACTAAAGAAGCCTAAAAAAATAAAAGAAAAAACTCAGGAAACCTTGTAATCTGAAATTATACAGAAAAAGGTCGAGCTATGCTGAGAAATCTCTTTGTTCATTTCCCTTTTCCTAAATGTTAAGGTTCAAGTTTTTTTTTTTTTTTTTTTTTTTTTTTTTTTTTGTATCTTAACTCTCACAATATGGAGTACATACTCCGGAGTTGATTGATAGTGTCCCTCGTGTTTACGTTTCGGGCAACCAACTATCATGCTGTGAGATAAACAATTAAGCTTTATGTCAGAGATATGATAAAAGAACTTGGCTTGAGTTAGTTGTTTCTGTTTATCCTTATTTCAGGACATACTAGGAAAAGCTCGTCAACTCTCTCCTCGAGCTCTTATCATTGATTCCATTCAAACGGTTTACCTAAAAGATACGACTGGGAGCGCTGGTGGTTTCTCTCAGGTTTGGAAAAATTTTTCGTGTATTCACTTGTTTTTGTACCAAGTTCGATGTACATCTTGTTGTACATCCCCTTGAGCAAAACATTGAGCTTATAACTAATTACCTTTTGTTGCTTCCCCTTTACATTGAATGATATCACACACATTCTAATTGATGCATGGAAAGTGTATCATATTTCTTCGTCGTTTCTGGAACTTTTGGGCCAGTTTGAAGGAAATAATTGGTGACAGGTGAAGGAATGCACATCAACCCTCCTACGTTTTGCCAAGAAAACTAATATCCCTGTTCTCTTGGTGAGTGTACATTTACTTGCATTTCATATGTTAACAACAGGATTGCGGGTTATTGGATGAAATGCACATTCTGATTGTCTGGCCAACGTTTTCGCATGTTGTTTAATTTACGTTGGTTCTTTATGTTTTTTACTTTCTGTTTTAGGTTGGTCATGTAACAAAAGCTGGAGATATTGCAGGACCTCGTGTTTTGGAGCACATTGTTGATGTTGTCTTGTACATGGAGGTGTGCAACTGCTATCTCTTTCTCTCTTTTTGTTTTTCATTTTTGTGTTTGGTTGTGGCTGTTCAAACATGATATTCCTTAATAGAATGAGAGTTTTCAGTTGTAACTAAATTCTTGTTTGTAGTTTCGATTTTGATTAGTCTGGTGACCTGTTTTCTGGCAATACCCATGAATTTCAGCTTAGTTTTTCACGCAAAATGACAATTTACCGGTCAATTTATTCGTATCTGTCTTTCTTCAGGGTGAAGAGCATTCTTCTTATCGCTTGCTTCGATCAGTGAAGAATCGTTTCGGGTCAACTGACGAAGTATGTATACAAGGCTCCAACATTATGCATTCTTTTCTTCTTCTTCTCGCAGTAATTCGATTTTCTCAATTCTCATGGTTATGGTTTACAGAAAACATATCTCGATATTCTGTTATGTGGTTTGAGCTTTCATGTAATCCGTACTCTTTCCGTTTCCTTCTTTTTTTTTCGCGTTGAGGATTATTAAAAAGTTTTGATGCTACATCCCATTTGTCAGCTTGGAGTATTCGAAATGTCGCAATTGGGGCTTCAAGTGGTTTCAAACCCTAGTGGCATGTTTCTTAGCCAACAGAATCCAGATTCAGAGGTTCTTGCCGGGCTAGCTGTAGCAGTTGTCATGGATGGATCTCGGAGTTTCCTCATTGAAATTCAGGTAGCTTGCTTACTGTTGTAATTTTGGTTTTGTCCTCTACTCCATATTTCACTGAATCTTGAAGTTCCTCACCCACAATTCACACTGGGCCACTGTATGTGCATACTTAGAACTTAAAAGTTGGTGTCAGATTAATGTCATGACGGGAGACGGTTTCAGGGTCATTACTTATGCCATGTCTTGCTTGAACACGTTGGTTTTACGTCTTTATGTAGGCGTTGTGTGTGTCGGGCTCAACCGTTATGAGGCATGTCAATGGGATTCAAGCAAGCAGAGCTGATATGATCATTTCTGTGAGTAGTAACTACAGAGGAATGCCCTCTTCTCATTGTTGATGAAACAGAAAACCTCTCTGTTGAATGAATGCCCTTTTCACTTGTATGTCTTGTCTGCTGTCTGCTAAATCGTAGGTTCTTTTGAAGCAAGCTGGTCTTAAGATTCAAGAGAACGTAAGTTCCGGTTTCAGTGTTCTTGCTCATCTGTCCCTTCCTTATGCAATTGCTTCAAAATATTGCATCATCTCCATTATAAATGATTGCATGTTTTCGGAAGAATGTGAAATATATGCGATGAATCACTTTCTTTTTTCTGTAGGCTATCTTTCTAAATGTCGTCAGTGGGATGGCCCTAACTGAGACGGCCGGTGACCTTGCGATAGCAGCAGCAATTTGCAGCAGGTCCCCGTCGTTACTTGTCTGCTTTTCAATATGTGCAAAATTTGGAAATGAATCATCGGGTTGTTGCTTCAAGATGCTTAGTCGGGTCGGGAAAATCGATTGATTTGTTTGTTGGACTATACAGTTTCTTGGAGATGCCAATTCCATATGGGGTTGCATTCATAGGGGAGATTGGTCTGGGCGGCGAAGTTCGTACGGTGAGCAAAAACACAACTGGGTTAGTACATTCATGTCGGGATTGAAACTGATAAAGGGTGGAATATAGGTACCGAGAATGGAGAAAAGGGTGAGCACTGTGGCGAAGCTCGGGTACAAGAAATGCGTGGTTCCGAAATCGGTGGAGAAGTCGCTGGAGGGACTGGGGTTAGAAGAGACAGAGATCATTGGATGCAAGAACCTGAAAGAGGTTATCAATGCTGTTTTCAGGACACCATGAGATGAGATAGATGTATGTTTAACTCTTTTCAAGTACTTTGTTTTTGTGGGGATGTTCGGTCTATAAATGCATTGGTTGGTCCCTTCAAAAGAAATTCTTAATAGTCTGAGTTCTTGAGCTGTGTTGTGGGATTTTACTTCTTTTTTATTTTGATTCGGTTATCTTTAATGATTTTTTTTATAATTATATTCATACGGCTGTTATATCGTTTTTTGATTTGCCATTATTTTATTTCTATTAGCTTTTTCATTTTTAGGGATAAACCCAAAAAAAAAATTTAAATTTACTATTTACATCTAATTCATCATAAAAAAACTATTAACTATTAATTTTGAAACAAAAACTCATTAACTATACATATTATTTAAAAGCAATATTTCATTTTAAATTTATTATAAAAAAATCATCAATTATTAATTATAATAAATAAAATTATCAATTATTAAAGTATAAAATTATATATATTAATATATGAAAGATTTTAAATTGAGTATATTTTATTGGTTGTAAATATTGTATTTAAAATTGTATTATATATTATTGTCTTAGAGATTACAAATTTTTTAATTAAATTTTTTCATAGATTTATATAATATTTTAATAAAAAATCATCAACTATTTAAAATTTTCAAAAAACATTCTATTTTAAATATAGAAACCTATAACCAATAAAATATATTCAATTTACAACCGCTCAAATATTAATATATAATAAAATTTTAAATACAATATTTACAACTAATAAAATATTAGATTTTAAATATAATATTTGCATATAAATTTATTATATAAAGATTGATGTTTATAAATATTTATATAAATTTTAAATATTACAATATAATAATTTAAAAAATATTATGTTTTCATTGTTGATTTTTTATGATGAATTTTAAGTATAAGGTTTTTTTTGTTGTAACAGAAGACTTGAAGTTTTTTTTTTGAATTTGTCCCTCATTTTTTATATTCAATTTTATTTTATTTCCATTCGATTAATTTCATTTTTTGTAAAGCTATAATTAGTTGATCTTCATATAAGATTCATTTATTCAGTTCGTCCAATCTAATTTATTGAATGCTTAATTGATATTTCATGTGTTTCACATTTTGAAAAGAGTATTTATGTTTTTTTTTATAAAATCAAAATACGAAGTGAGAATGTTGTTTTAGTCAAATTAATTAAATATTCGCATAAATTCTATTGCACGTTAGGCATAATAAGTAATAAAAATTGCTAAAATAATTGATAATCAAATTGGTTAAGTGACTGAATGTATACAAGAAATGTACTTTGTACCCGTACATTCCTACACTTCAATTTTTATTTTTGAATATTATTTTCAACTTAAACTTTTAAAAAAATTCTATTTTGATCCAATTTGTTTTTAATAAACTCATCTTTAATATAATCTTGAGATATGCGTTTTTTTAACTCTAACTGATCAACTAAAGGTCAAGTGGAAAAATATCAAGTAGTAACCAAATTAATTTAGTATTTTTTAACGATTTGTTTTTAATATACTCATCTCTTTAGCATGATATACATATATGTAATGTATATTAAAAATATTACACATCTATCTTTTTTTGGATATACCACGAGATGCAGTGAATTGCGTACAAATATAAACTGATTTCAATCGTAATACAATCGGCTCGTTTCAAATTAGTGATATTCACTAACAACACATTGATTTAATTTATATACTATTTGCATTACTAAGTTCTTATTTCATTCAACGTAATTAATTTAATCGGTAAAACCGGTGTACAAACCGTTGTCCTGTTACAAGTTCGAATTTCACGTTTGAAAATAATATATATTTCAATTGAATCTCGAAATTAGTATAAAAATTGATTCAAAATATTCAGTTATAAAAAAAAAAAGTTATCATTTCATTCACATACGAATCTATATTTTTTTAGATAGTACGATATAAATCCGGTTTCCAATATATATAATAAAATAAATGATAATAATTTTATTTTGGATCCATGCATGCATGTGTTCACTTTGGTGGATAAATGAAATGCATGTAACCATATTTTAAAATTTAAAAAAAAAACAAAAGAAGAATGGGGCCAATGCCGCCGCTTGAGCCAACATGAAGGAAGATGCCATCTCCACCTCCACATGCTCACGTGTCTCTCCACATGACATTCTTCGCTCCGCTCCAAAATTCCCATTATATATTTTTATTTATTTCGATTCGAATTTAACTTCTTTATAATTTTCTTTCGTTCCATTATTATTATTATAACTTTCTTTCTCACATTTTTAATGCGACGTAGGCATAGAGTGGTTAATACTATATATATATATGGTGCGCTTCCCATCATTGTGCGAAATTATTGAATTGATCATTAGTTGTTGTATTATATATATACGGACATTTTGTAATTGTTGCTCCAAATCCAACATTGCTCACGCACTTAATTAATAGCTTACAATATATATATATATATATATATATATATATATATATATGTGTATGTATATTGAAATGATATCACCTTATGATTGGATGCTTAGAGTATATCCATTGAGTTAGAAACATGTGGTCATTGAAAATATCACTTTTTTTTTAGAATCTATGGACTAGCGTATACTATATTATATCATATTATTTGTATTATATTATATAAGCAAAACTCAGCTCTACGCATATATCCAATTATAAAACCAAACATTACAAAATTAATGAATTAATTTGACCAAATTTCGAAGCAAATCAAGCCATTTGCCACATATTTATTAAAAGAAATATGGAAATATTTTTTGGCAGGCTAATAGAATATTAATCTTTTATATAGTTTGTATATTTTCATTATTAAATTTCATTTATTTATTTGTTTATTTTATTTTTATTCTTCTAAATATAGATTCAAATTTACGCAATTTAAAAAAGGCTTGACCAATACTTTTGAAATAATATATAATATTAGAACTCAAAATCTTAAAAACATGATTCGGCAGGACAAAGAATCCTTTTGTCGTTTAGTGAGCCACAACCAAAATCCCGAACATATGATTTTTAAAATAATATCTAACTTTATTTTTTTTTCTTTACACCAGAAACTTCAACCCAACCTACATCCCCTAGACCCGAGAGCAGTTTTTAGAGATCCGACATAGAGGTCCAGAGAGCAACACCCTCTCAACCGAGAAATACCCCCTTCCTCCCATGTTATCTAACTTTATTATATTTTACTAATTTTCATCGGAGACTTTCGATATGTTAATATTCTACCATTTATTATATTATAATGTAAAACTCTGTCATAAAATTTTAAATTCCAATTAAGAAATTTATCATATATTCTAATTGAAAATATATTTTATGCCGATTTTTTTTTTCTATTCTATTCTTTCAATCTCAACAAAATTATATATCAGTTTGAACCTAGATATAAACAGATGAAATAAATCAGATAATATATATAAAACTATTTCATTTGTCCGGTTATACATAAATAATTAGAACACATGGTTACAATTATTTGATTATGTGTACAATTTCAATTATCTTGTACATGTATTAGCCTTCTGTACATATATATATATTCATAAATTGTCGTTATTTTCTCTCTCTCGTATTTCCATTATGAAATGCATCGTTTTCAAATACTTGAACATACTAACATTTAAAAAGGAATAAAATATCAAGTCAGTGGGCATTTTGGTCCAACTTTCTTCGGGCTATAAATTTGGGCAACTCTCCAAGCTCTTTCCCTCATTGCACACACAAAAGCACAAGCAATACTGTCATCTTCCTCTTACTATATAACCCAAAGAGAGAGAGAGAATGGTGAGTAGAGCAGAAGAAGCCATGAGAGTGCAGAAACAAGAGAAAAAGAGTGAGAATCACAGGCAAATCACACAGTGCAACAAAGGAAAGACGAGCAGGTTCAAGCGAAGCACTTCCAATCTCGACGGCGACGGAGTCTCCTCCGCCATCCTCATCCTCGCTTGCATCGCTTCCATCTCCCCCACCCATAACCACCAGCACTCTTCAACGCTATGAAACAATCACATCACATGCCGCTAGATTAACATCGTATCTGCTCAAGTGTTCTTCGGAAGGAATATGTTACAGTTTTGTTGTTATTCGTTCATTCTAATAGTGTGCTTTTGTTGTTGTCGTTGAACTTTTATTTATATCGGTACTTGTTCTTCTATATTCTAATTGAGAAACAGTTTATGATGAAGCTCTTTTCATGAGCTAAATTAAACCATCCATCCAATTTATGTGTTAACAAACCGAACCAAGACCGGCTAGACCGGGTGTCCATTGGTCGATTGTTTCTGTCGATATCACAGAATACCGAAAAGAGACAGAAATAAACGAACTTCCACAAGGTTGAGTTGACTTGGTAAGAAGTATACTTACCAAGTCAACATCTTCATGGATGAGAAAGGAAGCAATGAAAATAAGAAACGCAGCATTTGCTTCTTTCACTTGACTATATTGCATCTGGGGGTATGTTTATGGAGGCAAAGGAAATGGAAGACGGAACAATACCAACTACTGTCTGAAAATGACAGTCTTTTCTGGCCCGCAATTCTTGATTCTTCAATCCTTTTTCCTACCGTTTCGATCCTTCGTTTAGGATCTTGCGACTGATGTTTCAATTCTCCACCAAGTTTTCGAGAATTCGTGTTCGGAAGAATCTGTGAATTCAGCCTTCTTCCCAGTCAACGTCCTCGTCCTCGTCTTCCTCTGCTAAAGCCTCCGCCTCAACATTCAAATCGCCCACCTTGTAATTTTCGGTATTGGAGTTTGCTGTGCATAAAATATACACTTCACATGTTAGAAGAGAACGTCTGATTACTAATAACCCCAAGATTGCTACTGGCTAACAAGTTGCTACTAATACAACAGTTTTGCTTTTGCAATTCCAAGTTAATAAAGGAATTGCACATTCCCAAAATCATTAGGGGTAATGATTCCATCCGGTTGGGAGGTAATGATTAACCAGTAAATAAATCAAGATTGGGAAATACTTATACCAACCTGTTAGTATAGTAGTCTCTTCTTCCCATTCAACATCTTCATCCTCTTCCCCTTCCCGTTTTGATTTCATACCCACCTGACGACCTGAAGACGTATCCAACGGAGTATCAGAGGTGACTGCATCCACAGACTCTGTCATCGTCGTAGCTTCAGCCAGTTCTTGCTGCTTTTTCAGTAGAGCAGCATAATATGCTTTGACATATTCATCCTGCACCAAAATGCAAAAGCAATTCAAGCACACCAAGATTTTATAAACATGATTCAGAGGAACATGGGTAAAGATAGAGAGTATATAACAGTTTATCTTCGGGAACATACCTGTAAGTTCGTTTCGTTGTCGCTCCCCATGGCTGACTTCTTTTCATCTGAAAGCTTTCCTGTCGCTGAGCTACCTCCATCGGCCTTTGATTCTTGTTTGATATCTCCTCTTTGCTCCTTGGAAAGATTCATTCCTTGCTTAATCATCCATGGGGGCAAAACCTTCAGTCCAGAACTTCCGCCTTCAGATTTGACATTTTCCTCCTTTCCTTCACCAAGGTTAACTTCCACCTGTCCATATAAAATTTTATTCCAATCAATCAATGACAACTGAAGATGAAAAAGGACATGCAAAAAACAAAAACTGGAAAAGTCTCTGTGTTTCTCCAAGTTGTTGGGATCTGGAAAGAAAAAGAACATCCCCGACCCAGACTCACAAAATTATTTTTACTCTCTATGTCTACGGAATACCTAACATTTGCATATCTAGATGAGGAATGGCCAACAAACTTCACCATACCAAGGAAAATTTAGCATCAACGGACTCCACTAAAAGAACAAGGGAAATCTAATTGTAACAAAGCTACTGTGACACCAATGACTAAAGTATCGAAGTAATTCATTTAGGCCTCGATATTCATGCACATTGAGGATTATTACCTTTGTCTCTCCAAGAAAGGGCATCGGTGTTGAACCATATCCACCCTGAAAAGATCTAGAAGGATCATTTGGGTTAGCATCACCATTTAGGCCACGAGCAGCCAAAGCTGCATGAGCTTCCCAAGCTTGAAGACTTCCAAAGTCGGGAACTTGAAGGTCTTTTACTCTATTTATTTGATCCATCAAAGGCTTCATCTGAACCTGCACTTTTCACTCCAATACTGTCAACATACAAACTAGAGATACTGATATATTGTTTGAAAGACCATAATTTATAAAAAAACCAAACACTGGAATTACATGACCTACTAAGAATAGTTTTGGCAAACTGAAGCTGTCTTCAAAGTAAAAGAGAGGAGGAAACAATCGAGTAAATACAATATCCAAAATTTGTCAGACACTGTGATACAAACTCTCCCCACAAACAGTACAATGACCGAGTTGGGAGCCTGAAATAAGAAATCTTTATCAGAACAAGTCGATGACTTTAAAAACCGGCACAAATTGCCCTTTATCGGAGCAACAATGTTACAATAAGCAAGAAATTATAAGAATATGAATGTATACAGCTAGCTTCTAATATGTATGTAAGCTCAAAGGTTTCACATACAAGACTTTACCTCAAGAAAATTAAATTTCGCGTTTATCACTAATCACGAATCTCCAGATTATGTAGAGATTTAGTATATAACAAGCTCCACTTCATTAATTATATAATGGAGTTTTGCCGCAAAACTTTTGAACCTAACAATTAACAAGCTATAGATACAGACCTCTAACTTCTGAATCAACTCCTTTAGCTTTTCACGTCTAAGTTTCCTTGCATTGTCATCACCATCCCCTGCTTCTTGGGATGTTAGCTTGTTGTTCTCAACAATAAGTTCCCCATTGCAGTTTTCACAATGAAAAGAATCGTCTTCCATAGAAATTAATCGCAATGCATCCAGTGCATTGTATCTGAAGACATGAGATCAGAAACTCTTCAGGTTTAATGAGCACAAAACACCACACTGCACATTACTGATTCTATAATTGCAGAAGGACTAACGGACGTAACTTTCTTCTGCAACTAGGACACACGTATTCCTGAACAGAGTTCTTGTCTTCCAATTCATCCTTGAGCTTTTTCTTCATTCGGTGTATTCTATACCGAACAACATCATATATCTGCAAGATTGTTACCTTTTGAGACATGAAATAAACATTGAAACCAAGTTCTATATTATATCGTTGGCTGGTTTGATAAAAATTCCAAAGAGCTGTTTACAGAGTAGGGACGAGAAGCCAACCTGTGCATAATCAAGACAGCAATATGAGTGGGTATGGAGCTTAACTTTGTCCTCTGCTCCTCTTGAATGGCCATCAGTTGTGGCAGCTACTGCAGTATTATACATCTTTACACCCTTTGCAGTCTATTAAAATGACCCAACAACAACAAATCAGGAGAATAGAAATTAGAGCTTCCAAAAGAAGCAAAAAATCTATCAATCACATGGAGAAGCTTGTTCAGTGGTAAGAAAAGAGCAGATCATGTCATGATGAAAAGCAGAAATGAGAAGCGAGAACAGTGTGGATAAGAGTGCTTGAATATCAACCCTATTCAAACATATCAGTACAGCTGAGCTATCTTAGTATCTGTTCCATCATTCTGTCGCCATTAGGGGCTTCAAACAGTGTGAAATTCTCACACTTTACGCCAATAAACTATTAACGACATGATATCTACACTAAGCCTGAAACAATCCGTAGAACACCGGGTCCACCATGCACATTAAGGGGGCATCATCTACAGCGGCAAATATAATACATCTTTCTAATAAAAAAATGTTCGGTGACCGACCTCCTTCCTGTTTTCCCGCATGACCAGTTTCTCATCTTCAAAGAATTTCAACATTCTTCGAAGCTGCTTGGTGTGTAACTTCAATTCCTTCGCCAAATCTTCTTCTCTAACCCATTGTCGCCTACACACAAGAAAAACGGAAAGCAAAAGACGAAAATCAGACGAAGCATGCTCCAGTCATAATAAACAGCATGAAAACACCAATATGTCAGATCTCAGAACCCAATATGTCAGCTAAGTATCAGCACTTCTAAAAGAAAATCACTAATTCATCATGACTAGAGGAATCCGCGAGGAAACTATATTGCAACAATTGGTTTTACCAAATTCCCGGGGAATTGTTTGGAGAAAGAAAATTGCTACGAGCAGACAAACCTGGTGAGAGCGTCGAGCACCACGACCGCAATTCCTCTGTTGTCGCTTCTCGCCGATTTCGGCTGATTATCCCCTTTCGACGTATAATCATCATAGAAAGCCCTAGCAACAAGCTTCACCAACCTGAAACATTAAATCAAATCGATTTGATAACAAAATCAAGCATTTCAGAGCCACAAATCCAAGAAGAAACACGCAGAAAATTGAAGTGAATCAAAGCTAGAACTTTCAAGCATTTATGCGCAGGATCAAGCAGCAGGTATGAGTTAACGAATTCAAGCTGTGGGTTTAAGCTAAAGAGATTTTACTTTACGAACGGCTCGAGCAGAACGGTCTTTTGCGCAGACTCGGAAATTTCCATGGACAACGCAAATCTATAAAGATAAAGCTCTCAGAGTGCAAGTTGAGTATAAGGTTTTAGGGCTTCAATCCATGGAAGATCCAGGATCTGGAGGAAGCCTCGAGACATCGAATTTAGCTATCGACGTCTCTTTAACTTGGACGATTCTCGCTCTATATATATAGGCATTTTTTCTCAAATACACTATCCTTTCGCTCGCTTCTATGAATTCATGGGGTACACCTTGAAAATATAACCTACTGGCAAAAGTCTTCTTTACCCTTAAAATAAATGGAAAAGACTATGTAACTCTTAATGAAGAGAACGTATGAGAACTATATGCATTTGTACCGATTTATTTGAGAGAGAGAGAAAAAAAATGTTAAATTTTTTAACAGTTTTTACATATTTAAAAAAAAGGGAGAAAGTGCGAAATCAGACAAAACGAACAGCGATTTTGAAACAAATCAATGAAGAAAAATGGAAATCGATGAAAGTCAAAAAAGAATTTTTTTATGAAAGTTAAATTTAAAAAAAATGTTCAAAAGTTTGAATTTAAGTAAAAAAAGTCATGAAGGAAAAAAAAAAGATAAAGTATCTGACAAATAGACCCAAGATAAAAAATTAGCTGTAAAAAAATACATATTTTTTTTATAATCAAACAAAACCAATTTTTTGCCACTTTATTGCATCTACGTTACGACTTTCGTTAATCGTAATTGTATAAAAATTCAGAAAATTTTATAAACTTTTTATCAATTGATTATCTAACTGTTCAAAATAAGTATTACAAATTCATTCAAAGACATCAAATTAAAAAAATAAAAATTTTGAAATTTTTTAACAAAAATGATTAAAAATATTCTTATATATTTATCATATTATGGTATTTTCTAGTTGAAGACATTTGAAATAAGTTTAATTTTATTATATGTTATGTTGTTTTGTGAGATGTTATGTTATTTTGGTATTTTGTATTAGGTTTGATGTTATGATATTTTGTGTTACTTGAATATAGGTTGATTTTGTAAACTTTGAAGTCGTATTTAATGGAATAAGTATGTTGCAATTTATTAAAAAGTAAGTTGCAATAAAATAGTTACTATTTTTCAATATTAAAAAGTAAGTCGCAATATTAAAAAGTAAGTCATAATATTAAAAAGAAAGTCGTAATTGATGAAAAAAAAGTCAAAGTAATCATCTGACACGTGGATCCATGATAAAAAAATCTATTACGAAAACATTATAAATTATAATTTAAATACGACTTACATTAGTCGTATTTATATAAATACTCATAAATTTTGATAAATTTTTTATCGATTAATAACGAAAACATACCAAATATGTATTACAAAATGATTTAAAGGTACAAATTAAGGAAATAAAAATTTTGAAATTTTTTATCATGAAAGTTAGAAAGCACTCCTATATGTTTAAGAAAAGTTATGAAGTGATTTGGTCCAAAATTGATGATTTTATATAAAAGTTTTGTAATTTGATTTTAAACTCAATTTTTCCACTTAAGTAGACAATATTCAATCAATATATATGAGTTCTTAATAAAAATTCGTTTCATTTAACGATTTTTGGGACATTTTCATCGAATTTCGAAAATCGTAATGTATTCATATTCCAGTTGCAAAATACTAGTTTTGGTTTATAATAAGACAAAATTTTATTTTTTCGACAGATGTCAATTTTTTTTGTTTTTCTCAATTATTTTCATACTTAATTTTCTGATTGTGGGTCAGAGACAAATTTTTTCTTTCCGTTGATCAATTTCTTTTTTTTTGAGACGATACTTTTTTTTTATAAATAAATTTCTCAAAATTTGTTTTCAAAATATATTAAATTCAAAATAAATTCCAAAAAGTAGTAATTGATGAAAAAAATGGTTTTTTTTATGAAAATCAAAATTAAAAAAAATGTTCAAAAGTATAAATTTAAGTAAAAAAAAGTCATCACAAAAAAAAACGTATCTGACACGTGGGCCCAAGGCAAAAAAAATCAAATGCGAAAAAAACCGCATTAATCTTATATTAAATCTAATTTTTAATTCTCATTTTTTATTGTCCAATGATTAAAAAAAGGGTATTTTGGAGGTTTTATACATAGGGATATTTAAGTCTTTTAATATGAAAAGTGGTGTACAATCTGTTAAAAATTTTGAAGGGATTTTCAATAGTGTACCTTTGAAATAGAAGCGACAGTAGTAGTGTATTTGAGAAAAAATGCCATATATATAGTCCTTTTATATTAGTAAATTGAGTGATTTCATTAATTGAAATTTGAAAGGAACAACCAAAAATAGGACTGGGCAAATTCGCTAGGTTACCGAACCAAACTGGTTATGGTTGGTTCGGTTTGGGTTTTAGGTCCAAAACCGCATACGTATCTTAAAAAATTAGCGTATCTAAACTTTTGGTTACTCTTCTAGTTCGCACCCTCCGATAAATATATATATATATATATATATATATATCTTTACATCGGTAGAAACTCAACCACATCCTTTCGGATGCGGTGTAAACCCTTGACTCTATGCAATAGCTTGCAAACCAAACCACGTAAAATAAGTAAACCACTCAAAGGTGACAAGCTTGCAGATGAGTGGAATCGAACCCATGACCTCTTGAAGAATCATAGACTACTCAACCAATTCTCCTGACCTATTTAGACTACTCTCTGATATATTATTTACTCGGTTGCTAAGGATGCAAATTTTACTCGGACAAACATATCGAATTTTGGATTTAAATTTATAAATTGCAAAAAAAAATTAGATTGTCAGACCAAATTCAGATCGAATTTTGAAACGGTCTATGTGAAATATATATATAGGTGCTAAACGGGTTAACTCGGTTCTAATGCAAATCTTATAAGATCGGCATTTGAATTTTATTCGAGTTCGAGTAGCCCAATTTTGACACCCTATAACCCAGTGAGTTTTTTGGACCAAATCGAGGTAACCTTAACTCTAGGATTTTTACTCTAAAAAGAATAACTTAATTCATTAAAACAAAATTCTCTCTCCTCATTTTTAAAATTTAAACCCTAACCCTTCTGTTTCAAGGAAAAGGGAAACATCATTCAATTTCACGAAGGAAAACTTGAGAAAGAGAAATGGAAAATCTCCCTTCAATAAATACTCACGAGTCGCCAATGCTACTACAACACAAGAACTACAACATCTGCCTTTTTTGATTCTGTCTTGTTGTGATTCTGATCTTAAAGAAACAAGGAAGAAACGATAGTGGCTCTTTCTGATTTTCGGCGCAGAATCTCCTTTGCGTTCCCAACGATCAACATGTAAGACTCTTTCGACAGAGTCTTCAAAAACCGGAAACTGCGAAATCCCGTCGTTGCCTACTTCTCCGCCACTAACTCTACCTTAGGGTTCTACGAAAGGGGAATATTACAGAAATACCTTTAAATGTCGATTTCACTTACAGTCCATAACCCTTCAAAATCTAGGATTTAAAAAAAACTGAAAAATAATGAAAAGACATCGTTACCCTTTTAAAAAATACACGTGTCAACATCTGAAGGAGAAAGATCAAAAGTTAGGAAGTTCCTAAATTTAAAAAATTTGAAAAACCAAACAGTTTATTTTTTGCCCCTTTTCGACAAATAGTTTTTGTGACACCCGTAACTCGTGTACAGTATACGGGCTGTGTCACATGGACGATATAAAATAAAATAATAAGTCGCGGAAGCAAAATCACGAAATACAAAAATATTTTTAATCAAACCAGAGTAAGCAGCGGAAAATATCACGGGCGATCAATATCGCAAACTAACACATGTCCGAATAGTTATAATTTAACTGTACAAAATGTGGGAAATACAAGTTCCGTAACCCAAAATGTAAATCCCGTACATGATGCTGCCTCTCTCAGGTCGTCGTCTGCCGGATGCGCTAGGCGTAATCCTCGTGATCTGAAAAATATAAACTACGAGGGCTAAGCACAACTGCTTAGTGAGTAGCCCGGGTTGAACCCGGTAAACCCTTTCTCAGCGAGAACGGTGTTAATTCGATGATTCACAACCAACAAACAACAATGATATCCATGCATAACTACATCACATCAGTCACAAATATGTCAAACACAATCATACCCATATGACATCGCATCATAGGGTTAGCCAGAGATCCTAGTCATATCGACATGACTAGAAGCGTCTCACACACGCCCGTCACTCGCGTGACGTTGGCCATCGCATCACATGCGACTACGCGCGTCTCCTGCACCTGTCACTCGCGTGACCTCCGATGTCAAGTCCATGACACAACGGAAATACAAACATACCCGTATGGAGTCCACCATAGGGTCCAGCCATAACCCTAGTCAAGTCCATGACTAGGAGCGTCTCACACGCCCGTCAAGTCCATGACGTTGGCCGTGTCAAGTCCATGACACAATAAACACAACACCCGTATGGAGTCCACCATAGGGTTCTGCCATAGCC